ATAATGTGAGACTTATATTTTTTTTATAAGAATGAAATGAAACTACAGTAGTCCGCTAGTGCACAGAAAGAGAACCAGCGAGCGAGTGCAGGTGCCGTCTGTTCTTCTCTCTTTTTTCCTTTTTCTCTGTCTGTCTGTCTGTCTGTCCCCCTCTCTCTCTAGCCCAGTTGTCTGTCTAGACATATGTCTATAGTTATCTATTGATGGCCACTACAAAGTGCTATAAACGCTAAAATAGCGAAAAAGCTAGGATATAGGTCAAAATCCGAAAGTTAGCGTATTTTGGTGGTAAGTTTTCGAGAAATCTCCTAGAAAACCTTGATTACGTGATACTCAAACGTCAGCAAGTATCTAGTTTTGTTCAGCGTTCATTTTTGCATCGACTGACACTTCTAAAAGTAAAAAATGAAAGTGGGAATTCATCATCAGGTCATTTCAATGCACGGTAAATAAATAAACTTAAGATGTTTATCAAATGCTTGTTTTAGTCCCTTTATTAAGACAACTGCTGTTATCACTGTGTACACCACAGGAAATCTATGGCAAAACAAGGAAAGAACAGTCGGAAACAATTAAAGATCCACGTTTAACAATAATTTCGAATTCAAGTGGTGAAATTATTCAACAATTAATAGTGATTCAAGACAAAACTCCCTTCCACAACGATGCAATGGTACAAAGAGTGCTATTTTCTCCATTAAAAACTCATGTTTTTAAAAATAAATCAAAGTTGAAGCAACCTATCCGTAATATTCCAAGTTTGCGCCAATTATTGTTTGTAATATGGTCGATCGCAGATAGAAGAACAGCAATTCAAGGTTATATGCTCTAAAGTCTTATTAGTAAATGATATAAGGATACAGGACTAAACACAATCATACTTGAGAAACTGTATTTGTTGGTTAAAAACTATAGAATGCTATTCAATTACGATGTGCTAGTTGTCCTCACAATGGACAAGCAAAGAGCAGTATAGAAAACTGGTATTTGCACTATACAATGTTTCGCTGCTACTCATTTCAGATTCTTTATGCTTGAATCGAATTTGCACACTGAACAACTATTGTTGTATATTTGTATAGGTGCTGGTTGCGAACCAACCGATCCAAATTATTCGTGTCGTCTGCTGAAATCAAGAGAAAATGTACTGAGAATGTGTGCAGTTATGCAGTGTATTGAAGATGCAACAGCAATATTAGAATTGTATTGTAATGGCATAGGAGGTGATGATGATGAAATCGATATTTTTGATAAAATTGATTTGGAATTTATCCATAAAATGGAAAAGTTAATTCGTCTGGCTTTTAAACAAAATGAACCAAGAATAATTATAGGCAATACTGCTCGTTCTGCAAATCAATTAACTCGTGAAAACAACAGCATTTATCGTTTGTTGTTTAATACACGTCGATCCAATGATTGTAATAATACAACATTACTTGATCTATCATCATCAATCTCAGATGAAACGTCGTCACCTAAAACAACTAGCGATTTAACCCCGTCGATACAAAACCAGTTTGGACGTGCAATGTTACTATTTAAATCTGTCTTTTTTTCAAAAACTGATTGGTATTGTGTGACTGAATTGAAAAACAAGAGTACAACTGTTACGGCAGTGTTGCAAAAATTAGTTGATAACGAATTAATAATCTTACACGATCGCGGAATGAAAAATGGACGCCGTGGAAAAGAAGTTTATTGTAAAAACTTTCCTGATGATAATCCAAGTTCAACGAAATTACAATGGAATAAACAATTATCAGTCTATGATTTGAATTTAGATGAAGATTTAAAAAAATACACATCAATAGCTGTCGCTTGTACTAAATCAATTCTGTCTGATAATCTAGCTAGTATACTTACTGGTGGTCTTTACGACCAATTTATCGGTAAAGATAATATTAATGAGTTTAAGAAAGAGCGAGGTATGTTTGTGATAGTTGTTTGTTATTTATATTGGTTTGTTTTCTCACTTTATTCCAGTGGTTGCATAAGACAAAGCGATAGCACCATCATCAAGTTCACAAACAGTAGCTGCGCTGTCATCTGAACTGCTAAATGGTCAAATGTTTGTTGTTGTACAGTCGTCTGACGCACCCACAATTGTTATTTCTCCGTTGCCACCTAAACATAACGGCTCACAATCAATGATCAAAACTGGTCTGGGTGCTTCTTTTACACAGTTACCGTTGAATAGCAACATGTCTAAAAATAATGAAGATAAATTAGAAAATAATCAAAAATTTAGTGAAAATGTAATGGAGGATGATGATAATACTGAAGCCACTGATGGTCAGTCACAAAAAGCGTTAGAAATTCCTCTTCCAATTAATGAAACAGAAGGAGACGATGAAGAAAATGATACACATTATCGACGTATCAAACGAAAACATCCAGGTGAATGCTCCATCGAACATGACAAAAAACGTCAACGTGTCATTGGTCATATACGAAATAACTCTCAACGCTTACTGAACAGTAGTTAGTCGATGTAATCTATTTTTTGAGGCGTTGTTTTTCTTCTTACTTAAATCTCTAAGGACAGTTGATTTAACACGTGTTAAAAAGAGAAGCACCCTTTGTTTTTACTCATTTTTTCTGTATTTTATTAAGTTACTATTATTTATTTGCAATATCTTCTTATCTTTATTTACTCAGATTATTTAACATATTTTTGTATAATGTTTTATAAGGGAAACGTTTTTTCTTATTCTAATCAGAAAATAAATTTATATTTTTTATTTATATGTAATCAACTTCAAGTTATTGCCCGTTACAATCTATTACCTTTGCACTTCTTTCCTTTAAATGTTCACCATTGTTTATAGGCCATAGAGACAGTATTGAAGGTATAAGTAAAAAGTGTTGTTACCTTAAGTCGAAACATGGCTTTTGTTTAATTGAATAAATTAAAAGTGATACCGATAGAAAATAAAATAGGTTGTATTTTGGCAGATGGATGATATCGCTCGTATAGTAATACTGGCAAACAGCTCTAAATTACAACATTTATCCTTAGCATGCGATTCAGATTTTTGCATTTCATCTCATTTGGAAAACAAATATGAACATATTACGAAGATATTAAATGAGACAATGTTATCTAATTATGATGTGAATCAATTGCGTGCTGTTTTATGTACAATAAATTCACCATCGAGTTCGTTTCATTTATTGCACAAGCAATCAATCAAAGATATTCTTAAACATTATTGTACAAATCCGCGAAATATTCTTGATGTTCAAACTTCGTATAAATGTACAAATACCCATGTTTTGCCGTATACTCAGACATGTCCCAAATGTAACGAAAAGCTGAAAACAATTTCGTCGAAGTTAATCAAAGTATTTTGTGCCAATGGACAAATACACCAAGCGACAATTTCCTATTATTCATGTGAAAAGAAGAGAAATATCTGTACACGGATATATCCGCCGTTTTATCAAACCGGAGAAAATCGTGTTGTAACCAGATAATCATTTAAGCGTTCATCCGTGTATTATGTTGGTGGACACTTTGGCTTTAATGAAGGATTACTACGTAATTTTGAAGCAGAGACAATTAGTATGTCACCGTCATTCGAATAGTATACGTAAGCGTACAATATTCAAAAAAGACGATGAAGGCCAAATATTTTCTGGTAATTAAGTGTTCTTTCTTTATTTTCACAATATTGTGTATTTCTTGTTTTTCAATTATACTGATTTATAAAGACAAAAACTCAGTACTGTATGTTTTTTGTTCGAAATTAGTCAGTTTGAATTTTTTATAGGAGAATAATTGATTTATTTTCCATTAAAAGACATTCATCTAGACGATTATTTTAACTACATAACTCCTCTATTATATGAATATTTCGTTTATTTTTGGTCTAATCATTCGTTACGCAAAAAATGTTGTACCAATTGTTCAAAGCAATAGTTACTGATCGTCACCAAAAATTCTGTTGAAGAATTCGTAGATATAAAAATGTTAAAATAACGACAAAAGAATTTGAACATATTACCATTGGATGTAAAGCAACACTCATGTGCAGAAGTAAATATTGTCGAACTAACCAACAAATTAAAGAAAAACAATCTTCATCTATAGAAGCGTTAGAGGTACTTTTGTTTTGTTTATCCACAACTGCTAATAGAAAGCCTAAAAAACACAAAGTTCTGCTAATCGTCACTAATATTTTTGAAAATAAGTAGAACTCTGCAGAATGTACTACTAATGTCTTTCTTTCAGGCATCATTCAAATGAGCAAAGCCGGATAGTTCACAAGTACAACGAAGTCAACGGAATCGAAAGGCTAAACGCACAGCAGTTGCTAAAGATGAAACGTTCGAAAACATTAAAAAGCCGTCCATACAAATATGTTCGTCTAAGTGCGCGTAGTTTTGGAATCATCACTGCGGTATTCAATTGTCGAATTGTCATCGGGTTTCTGAGATGGGTTTGTGAAATTCCAAATTTTATAGAGAAATTTAGCAGAATTTAGCTTCGCGTTTTTTAGCAGATTTGATCTGAGAATGTGGATTTTCATGAGGAAAATATCCTCTATTGAAGTGAAAATTTCCCTTTGTTGTTTCGCTGGGCAGACGGAGAACTACGTTTTCGTGTGTTGACGGAATAAAATATATATTATATAGAAATTTGGGAATCCGATTCCAATAACAATTCAAACGATCCATATACTAAGACGGACGTTTCTTTATTCTTCCAAACAAAGAATGATGATCAAATAATATTAGAATTTCAACATTTCACTACTTTAGATCGTCAATATTACCTCAAACTTACCAAGATTTATTATTTATGATGATGGATGTCATGTGGCACATTATGGTAACAGTTATGAAATAACGGGTGGTCCGGATTAAATGATCCTCCTCATATATTGCTTAGAATTTTTTTCTTTTCAGTTTTCCTTAGACCTGATTGTTTTTCCAAAAGATGCGCGGTCAAATTCTCTACAGGACTTTATTAAACTTATTTCTATAGAAAATTAAGGAAAAACATTAAACGAAGAATACGCAACATAATGAAATGGACCAACTTTCTAAGCCGAAAAACCGTTTTGTTCAACTACTTTTATTGAGCTGAAAGATATAAAGAAGAGAATATATTCATTTTGTAGCCCTAGAAAGCCCTATCAACCAGTATTAGATGTACAAATGGAAAATCAATCTATGACGCTTATACCGATTTTCTCCTCTTTGAGGCTTTGCAAAATTCAACTATTTGAAAGTGTTGATTCGGAACTCCTGGAAAATGCTACATAACGAAGCCAAAATAGCACCCTATTAGCTCGGTCTTTTTTTATTTTGATAAGAAATGACATCTGTGTCAGATTCAGCGACGACAGTTGCCTTAAAGCTTTCTGCATAAATTCACCTTCTGAACAATATCAGATTTTGGTCATTTTCAGATGAAGTTTGGAATGCTAGATTTTTCAGTGTTCACTTAGATTTGAATGTATTGTGAATTGCATGAGGAGAAAGAGCGCCAATTACTCAGAAATATTTTCACTTTTGTTTCACTGTCTTTTGGTTTGCTTAAAATATTCTAAAATTTGTAAAACAAAGTAGCTTAGAAAGTTGGTCCGTTTCTTTATGTTGAGTATTCTTCGTTTAATTTTTCTCCTTAATTTTCTATAAAAATAAGTTTAATCAAGTCTTGTAGAGAATTTGATGGCGCATCTTTTGGAAAAACAATTAGGTCTAAGGACTGAAAAGAGAATAAATTATAAGGAAAACATAAGGAGGATCATTTATTCTGAGCCACGCGTTACTTACGTATTACTCCACATATAAGTATGTATGGTACATTGACTATCATGGTGTACCAATCAGTCCAACGGGAAAAGCGATTTTCGAGGATGATGGTATCATATAGGATCATATAAGAATGGCCAAGGATCATGTAAGCATCATCGAACATCATTTTGTGAGCATCAAGAGAGCAAATTTATCTCTGTTGTAAAGACTGAACTGAATTAAATTATCTAAATTTTGCTCCTTCTCATAATAGTTAACATCTTGGACTCCCCTCCAGATGAAATGTTCAGATGTTGGTTTTTGTTATCAGATCTTTATGTTTATCATTTATAAGGCCTATTCCTTGCTGAAAGTCTCAATTTTGGTCAACATATAATCGAACACTGTGAGAGCAAAGTTAATGTTTAATGCAGTTCAATATCCACGCTTGCTCTTTAGAGATTGTATATCCGTAGATATTAATGATAATATCAGTTCGTTGCTAAACCTAATCTAACATCCAGTGAATTTTAATTTGAAAATAAGATTGTTCACCGTTTAGATGAATATCAGGTCTTTTTAATATAATAATAATTTTTATCATTGGTTGTCTCCAAACATAGCGTAAATAGCAAAGAGAGGAGAATCAATAGTGCAGATATTTGTTACGGAATATGCTCTAACTCAAAAGGATCAATTTGTATTTTACAGACGAAAAAACGAAAAAATGAAATCGTACCTTTGGAGGTTTTCTTTCTGATGCCAAAAGCTGGTCATAGATGTTGAATCATGACGATTTGGCGAAACCGACGAACTCAGGTATTTCAAAAAGCTTTGGTAAAGAAGATTGCTGTCTACGAGTATTCTCTCTTGTCTCTACTACAAAAAAAGCATGTATACTAACGAAAATGAGAAATCTTTTAGTGAAATATCATTTTTGCTTTCATTTTGCTGCTTTTCATGTTTACTTTCAGAATTTTCTTTGTATATTTTCATGTATGAACACGTTTTTTGCTTGTTGTTATTTTATCGATATCATTTTATTCCTATTAACTTCAATCGAACATACTACGCCATACAAACAAGCTAGAGAGTTAGAGAGCTAGTCTTACTTTAAATAAAAAAGTTCACTAAGTTTTCTATTTGAAGAAGGAAGGTATTTTATATAATAAAAGGGATGGTTTGATTAAACAGTAGTTCACTGAATAGTATTTACTATCATTGTTTTTATGAAAGCACAAAGCTAATATTGTCTGCATAACCATCGTTATATTGACCAGTAGGTTGACTTGCCGACGCTGTCAGCACGATACAATGTGCGCCCAACGGTACAGTTCCCGCGACACTGTAGAACATCAATAACGTTTGATTATTTCGATCTTTTGGCATGGGACCCGGCATATATTCGACACCACCGTGTAAGGGGAAAATACCATAACCAGTTTTTTCGTCAATAAACACTATCGTGAGTCCTGAACCATCCCCTTCAGTGCCATATCCGCCAAGCCAACCAGAGAAATTAAATAACAATGTTTGATTAACGATATATGGTGAAAAGGAAGGGAAACAAATCACCTGACGTAATAGTGCAGTTCCATTTCCACCATAAACATAACGTTGACCACGATCGCTTGGTCCCGGTGATGTGCTAGTTAAGCCCAGATTACTTCCTAAATAAAAGCAAACATATCCGAATGTTTTTCCGGTGGTCGCTAACAGGCGCAGTCTCTTATTCTCACTCTAAAAAATTTTTCCAACTGTCCAAACCGCTTTTTATCCCATTCAACTTTTACTATTACACTGAAAATTAGAATGATTTTTTATTTTATCCACACATATGAGAGCTGCTTAAAGATTTTCATACCGTAGCCAACGAGAACTAACTCTGACCTGGTGGAGAATAGTCTAGTGCTGTCGTTACACCACGTACAACTAGCCAATTAGGTACATATGCTGCAATTGTTCCATAAGGCGATGGAGTTGGACCTGTAAACAAAATAACAGAGGCAATGATACCTGGAAAGTAATTTTTCTATATATAAGTTACACCTTGTTCAAAATCACCATTGATCACAATATTGCGATTGAATGGACTATCAAAATAATCTAATGCAAGTCCAATATTATCCAAACTACCGTAATTGTAAGTATCACTGCTAATGGCTGATTTTAATACTGTTGCTCTCAATAATAAAACTCTTGTACCAGTCGGTATGAAACCATGCGTAACACCTTGAAAACTAGAACGATTTGCCCAGGTGTCAAAGATAGTTGGCGTCTCGATCTCTATAAAAATATACCAGAAAAATAAATAATTACTTTATTGTTTGCCGCCTAAGATTGATAAATAAAATTACTTTACATTGGCAAGAGAAAAACATCCCAATCTTCCTACTGAATTTTAAGACGAGCATCAAGTCAGTCATGGTTCCCATCCGTCAACTTTCTAAATAGTATCAAGTTTAAGGCTCCTCCTCCCTGTGTCAAACACGTAGATTCTAAGATAAATACATAGTTGGACAGCCCAACATCCTTACTTCTCAACCCCCTAATTTTTATTCCTTGAACAGCCGGTTTTCATGCTTTTACAGAGATTTTTTGAGACGTTTTGATGAAAAAGTTCTTTTTCATTATTTTTCAAATATACAATACATGTTCATGCACATCCTCACCAGAGTCTATAATCTAATTCAGTCAAAAATCTACGCCGAAGTTCTCATGGAGAAAACGTAAGGTTGCTGTGTGACTTGTGAACAGTTCAGATTTACTACATTCCACCACACAACCACTACAGTGCACTACACAACCACTACAGCTAACTAAGTCCCGTGCTCAAAAATTGAGAAAAAAATACAGGTTTTTCCTAAATGGTTTTTTGAACATCTGTTTTCGATAAAATGAGCGCCCCCTCCACATCCCAATTTGAAACTCGTTCAAACTTTGACAAAATGTTCTTCTAGCTTCCCTCTATCATCTATATTAACGCAAATTAGCGCAAATGTTTCTGAAGCGTACAGCAGGTTTTCCAAAAAACCAAGGTTTTTCAGCTGTTTCCCATTTATATCGGCTTAGAAACGTTTTTATTTACTAACAATGACATATTCAGAATCAGCACAAGAAACTACATCGAATGATGTGAGATTAGTAGGTTTCTCTGAGGAAAAACTTGTTGAATCTAACGAAACATTAAAGTCGAAGCATAGCGTGACAATTTGGCTAAGGATTTCGATATTGGCTATAAAAGCAATCCGACAGCCTACAAACACTTTTGTGAGGATATCGATCCTCTAGTGGCTAACTCTAATCGTAGTAGTGAAGCTATAGTGAGAATCAACTCTCACTCCGATACTTTTATTTGAAGGAAAATAACGACTATATATAGTACAAAAGTTGAA